GAGGATGGTATGAGCCACCAGGCATTGTACTGGGCATCAGAGACTCCATGGGAACCTGGTGGGAGGAGCATCACATTCAGCATCCCAGAGCTAATGCTGCCCCTCAGAAACTGTTTCAGAAGTGAAGATAATGCTTCTGTGTGGATTTAGCTAAGAAATCCAACCAACAACACAAAGGCAGCACTAACTGGATACATTCAGATTAAACAGGTATCTTTCACAACTCTTCACACATCAGTAATATATGTTTTCAGACTTTTCAATCTTAAATAGAAATGTTTGTAAAGCTGTCATGGAAAAGAAAATAAGCAGCCTGCCTCTACTAAGGAGCAAAATAATTCCTGGAAATCATTCTACCTAAAAGTATACCTTAACATCAAATTTTATCTAATCTCAGGATTTTATTAAAGAAAATTTCAAAAGAGAGCACAGAAATGCAACTTTACTTAGTAAAAAATTATCAGGGTTTAATGCAAGTTTGTATTGATTCTTCTTCACTAAACACAATTTAGAAGCTAATATTAGGAAGAGAATCATTTGGAGTTTGCATCTGGGGAAAGAAAAATCTTTTTTTTTTTTTCTGGCGGCAGTGGGGTTTGAACTTAGGGTCTCATGCTTGCTAGGCAGGTGCTCTTACTGCTTGAGCCACTCTGCCAGCCCTGAAAGAAAAATCTTAAAGCAAATATTTGCATACAAACCTTAGAAGCAGTCAAGACAAAATGATGGATACATGACTTTACGTATTTGTCAAAACCCCAAACACCGTATAACATAAAGAATGAACTCTAATGTGACTATGAACTTTAGTTAATAATACTACTTCATTATTGGTTCACAACTGTGACAAATGTACTACACTAATGCAGGACGTGCGGGTGGTGGTGATAGAGAGGGTACATGGGGAGTCTGTAATTTATGCTGGATTTTTCTATAAACCTAAAACTGCTCTAAGAAATAGAGTACTATTAGGACAGTGAAACTACTTTGTATGAAGATGGTGGATACAGGTCAGTGTTAATTTGTCCAAATTCACAGAAGGTACAATACCAAAAGTATTGTACCTTCTTAGGTAAGCTGTGGACTCAGGTGATAATGATGTGTCAATGCAGGTTCATGAAATGTAACAAATGCACCACTCTGGTGAGGGCTGTGGATAAGAGAGGAGGATGTACGTGTGTGGGCGCAGGGTGAATACCGGAAATCTCTGTACCTTCCCCACATTTTTTTTTTCAGTAAGCTTAAAGCTTCTCTAAAAAGAGTGTATTAAAAGTAAAGTCTATTAATTTAAAAATAACTTGAGAGTATGAAGGAGGGAAAAAGATTGGTCCACCTGAGCAAAGAGAGAAATGAATCCATATTGTAGAATGATGTAAATTAAAGTACCATGTAACATGTTAGTTTATTATGACATATTTTTAAATTGAAACAAGATTTGTAATAAAACACCAGGAAGTTAGTGAAAAGTATCTTTATTCCAGAACCGAACGGGACCTTGGAGACGAATGAACAGGTTTAGATAAGCTTAGAAATTAACCAACTGTGACAATAAAACACTAAACACTTCTCAGGAGAAAGGAAAACTGTGCTTGGGTTCTGCTGGAGCAAAACCAAACGTGTTAAAGGCAGTGCTGTGGGACAGAAGCATCGTAAGTTACTAAGGATGCAATAAGAACTTCTGGAAATATGACTTATGCAAGCACAATGGAATGCACTCCACATTACGAGACATATCTGTCCCTACATGGTTTAACTTGGCCAGCACTGATCTCATGGGCTATTTGAAGGTTCCTAGAGATCTATTCCTTACGAACATAAATGATCTGTGTCTTTAGCTGTTTCAAAACCAGAACAATTTATGTTCCAGTGCACATTAGAGAGGTGGTCTAGCCTGGAGATTCACAGTGTAGGTGGTGGAATTAAACTGCCTGTGTCTAAATCCTGACTCCACCACTTGCAGGCTGTGTGATATCTGGGCAAGTTACTTAATTTCCCATGATCTTTGTTTCCCTGTATGTAAAGTGAGGACCACAGTTAGGGCTGAGCATCCCTGACCTAAAAATGTAAGTGCTACAGTGCTCCACAATTGGGAATGTTCTAAGTGCTGACATGAGGCCAACAAGTGGGAAAGTATGCATCTGACCTGTGCAATCCAAACACAGGTGTGCTTTAGACAGTGCAGAACACTAGCTTCAGGCATATGTATAAAGGTGTGTATGAAACAAAAATAAATTTCCTATTTAAACTTGGGTCCCATCCCCAAGATAGCTCATGATTCCAAAATCTGGAATTTAAAATTTAAAATTTGAAGCATTTCTGGTCTCAAGCATTTTGGATAAGGGAAAAGTACCTACTTGATCGATTAAGTGAAGTAAGGTACCTAATTCTCTTGGGTGTCAGACACAGGCTAGGCCTATAAATGTGAACTCCTGTTAGCTCTAATGACCTGATTTTAGGAGATCATGACTCTATGTCACATTCAGGATCATCTGTGATGATCTCTTAGGCTGATGGCAATGGAAAGACACATCTCAGGTGGTACTTGTACTGCTTTGGGGATAATTACATATTTACAGGTTGTTCTCCATGGGATTGGCAACTCAATGAAGGTAAAGCCAACTCTCAGTCAACTTTGTTAACAAATATCTTTCAAAATCAGGAACACTCTGATTTACTTCTTACTGGGAAGGAAATTTTAATTTTGGCAGAAGTGCATACTGTTGAACTGAAACTTTTTTGTTTTCAGTTGAAAAAATAAATCAGGTAAAGTCTTAATCTAGCATACTTTGGCCTAATACTATTATTGAATATTAACTTTTAAGAACACTGTGTCCTGAAGTACTTCCCATGGGGGTGGGGAAGCTCATTATACTGGACCTGGATGCTAAGGTGCCACCATGTTGAAAGCAGAGAAAATAACTTTGGGTTCAAACTGAAAATTAACTGCAAGTTGAGATCCACACCATTTGTAGTTGGTGAGAGTTCTAATTTACAATATGATCGTGCCAGATAACAGATCCAATCTGGCTCTGGCTGTGAAGGGCTCCAGTGAAGGCGGTGAATTGCAACTTGGCTTGAGGTTTATTTAATCAAGATGGAAAGAAGAGTTTATGATGTTCTAAGAAGAAATGAAGTTTCTATTTTCACATAAACTACCTAAAATAAACATTAAGGACCTTATACCAGAAACATGTCCCAAAGAACTGAAGAATGATTTCTAAGTAGACAGCTTTTTCTAAGTTTCATTTTGAGCAACAGACAAGTATTTAACTCAATTATTCTCTCCTGAGACTATTAAAATGGCTTTGCTGGTGCTATCAGGATGTAATTTCAGATCCACTCAATTTCCAGACATTGACTGAAACTCAAATCACAGGTCTAGTGTATTTCAAACGATACCACACACAGACACAATGCAGTATTCATGCTGATGAGGAACACTGAAGGAACTGGACTCAGGTAATTTAGTTGATGGTATTAAGCCAGAGATGCCAAATTAATTTCTTAGACATGTTTGTGAATATCTCCGAGTGATGACTGAGAAACATTTTCCCATTTTCTGTGTTTGGAAGTGATGCAGTTTAGGTCAGATATGTGTATATTTAGAATACAAGATTCCCAGATTATCCAACCAGGAAAAAGCCTCAAGATTATCTCATCTAATGTCACTTTCTCAGAATGAAAACAGAGGGTTTCAGGGCAATTTAGTGGTTAGAAGCTTGGGTTCTGGAGTCAGACAGACCTAAATTCTAACCTGGACTGTCAAATTACTTGTTGTGTAACCTCATGAGAGTTATTTAATCTCTTTCAGCCTCGGTTTCTTCATCTGTAAATGCGGATAATAATTACTCTAGAGATCACTGTAACTGCTCAGTAAATGTTTGCAGCTATCTTATTATTATTATGAATAAAAAGTAACTCCTGAGGCAAGAAAGCAGAAACAGCACTATAACTTAAACATGTTTCATTTAAACATGGTACCGAGGATAAAAATTCACTGGCACTACCTCAAATAGATGGGCAACAATTTCTATCTTTTTGCTATTGAATTGATCAAAATATTAAATCAGTGATTATACCCTGAGATCTCAATTTTATGAAGATTCACACATATTTAGCACCGCATGACCAGTGGACACTTCATCTTTATCTAAGTGTTTTAGTTCAGTTACAGGCTTTTAAATCTTTCCCACCAAAAGCTGCTCATACAAAATTGGTGCAAGGTATATTGGCCACAAATAAAGGACAGGATTCATTCTCTACTGATGCTATATTTGACTTTGTTAGTTGTTACATTGAACAATCCAATATTCTTACTTTGTACTTTCATTCAGATGTGGCCATGTCTGCTATACCTCTCCAAGAATAAGGGGTAAAGAACGGGAGAAGCTCAGTGGTAGCAGAAGTGATGGGGACGTTGGTTAAATAGATGCCTAGGACTCTAGTGTCTGCTAATCACAGGCATTCCTTTGGAATTGCCATTTTTGTCGACCCTTAAATGTTTGATTCAACTCAGAATTGACTGTTTTTTCTTATACTTAAAAAACCAGAATAGTTAAGAAGTCACACAAAGAACATTAGCTTTATATAATGCATTCCTGATACTTTTGGTTTTGATAATTTTTTAGTTAATTGGCAGTCTTGTCAGTAAATATTCTCACACTGTCAAATGGGTGCTTAAAACATTTTCTTGGAATAAACTAAAGATCATTTTTTTTCTCCAAATCTGGAGAATGATAAATGCATATATAGCTAAACTTCAACTCTTTAGAAAGAATTAAGAGCAAATGTAATACGCTATGACTACATCAAAGAGATGTAAACTACAGTGAGTAAGCCCAAGTACAAACATGAACAATGCCCAGACACCTTTTTATGTAACACCAATGTGATTCAGCAGACCAATGGATGAAGAAAATAATAATTTCAAAGGTGGCAATTTGTATCCATACCCAGCATTTAGTATCTCAGCTACTGGAAATAAAAGAGTTTGGCAGACTTACCCGCATTTTTGCACACGCATCTTGGGTTGACTCTGTTCCCCTAAGCTCTTTTATCAGCATAGAACCTAAATACTAAAATAATAAAAAAAAAAAGGAATGATTTATTTCAAGAAGAGTATAAATATCAGTCATGATCTAAAAACAAATTATGGAAGTCTACAAGCTATAAGTTGCTGATAACTTAAAAAAAAACTAAGAGTAACTAATTCTTATGAATGCATTCATAGAGAGAATGTAGTGAAATTAACCATTAAATATTGGGGGCTATAAATTGCTCTTTATAATGAAACTGTAGCATTTTCTAAAGATACCATCTTTCAAATCATATTTAACTGCAAAATGGGGGCATCTAAAAATGTTTTCCCCCTTTCTTTCGAGGCAGCAATGTCTGCAAAAATAAATCACGCTACACCAGTGTAATTACAGGGCTGTATGAGACAGCTGAGAAGCTAAGCTACATGTCTCCCACTTGGGCTTAGCAGACAGCATAGGTAATTAACATTAGGCTGTCTTAGGCAGAGATGCAGTTTTGGACCCCTTCTATTCCCAGCTGTGTGCCCCGTGGTTGATCCACCTGAGAAAGGGACTGGAGGGGACAGGGAGTCAGAATGCCATTCTCAGTTTCGCTGCTGACATGGCTAAGTCCCTAGTGCAAAGCGGCACAAGTTGGACTGGATGGAGGTAGGGGAGGGATGAGAAAATCTCCTCCCCAGAATTGTGAGCCATTTTGCTGTTTAGTGATGGCACTCAACAACACCTTGCTACTCCACACCACTCACTGTCCTGCTTCTGGCTGAAGGCAAATAGTTTTGAGCAAAACATTTGCCTTTTTATCAACTGACTTATCAATCTTTTGAAGCTTCAACTGGGTTCTTTCCTTTTGGCATTTTTCCCCTCCCCAATGCCCTTAAAAAATTAAAGTGCCCTATACATCTTTTTTAAAAAAGTGAGCTAAAATAATTATTTTAGTGGAGACTTAAGGACACATCTTGCTTAACTGGAGACACCTGGTACATCCCTGGAGACCCAGGGATGGGAGTCAGTTCTGTGACCCAAGGATGCTACTGAGTTCACAAGGATGTGCAAAGCGCAGAAGCAGAAGGTTTGGTCTAGGGCCTTGAGAAAACGCATGGTCAGAAAGGCTCAGGGATTTGGGGTGTGAGCTTTGGAGGAAGTAATTACCACCCTGTAGTTTTTGGGCGATTATTGTTGATAGAAATCCAACGCTGCCAAGATAAGCAAGCAGTAAAAGAGAAGAGATTTAGCATAGGGGAAAAAAAGCTCAAATTGAGAGGAGAGAACCAGAACACCCACATCTTAACCAAATTAAGGAAAACGATCTTGGTGAGATCCTTATCTTTTAAGTTCTCAGAAAAGTTTGCCCTAATTGAAATGTATCTTAAAGAGAGGAGGTTTCAATGCACTGCTGAGGGTTCAGCCTTTTTTTCTGCTGTAGTCATGACAACCACCACCTGCCCCAAAGCCTACGGAATCTTTTGAACATTTACCTGTTCATATTATTCACAATTCTCAGCTAAACATAACTATTCCTTTCGCTCTGAAAAAAGAAAAGAAAAAGCCCAACCTAGTAATGTAATCTTGGTGACGAGAAAGAATCTGGTATTCAAAGTGGCAGATGCAATGTTTTGAGATCATTGGTGTAACTGAGGATGTCTATGTGTTCTATGTTTGTACCCCTTCATTTCACATTTTTTTATTTATTTATATTTTTTGCACTGCTAGAGATTGAACCCAGGGCTTTACACATGCTAAGCAAGCGCTCTCCCACTGAGTTGCTTCCTCAGCTCTACATTTGCATTGAAAATTGTGCTTTATCACGTTTCTTCTGAAATACACAACTCTATAGGAAGGCAAAACAGATCTTAAGATGACAAGATTTAAAGGATTACAAAGCTCTATTTATTTGGACTTTCTCTTTGGATAGAATGCTACTTTCAGAAAAAAAGGAAGGAGGAACATTTTAGAAATTTTAGTGGTGGACAGTTTGGTACATTTTTGTAAGCAAACCTAAGCAAAAACATACCCTCTATACCCACCTGCACCTAAGTCCTGAATTCAGGGCAACTTACAAAAGCTTTGTAGTCACATGACTGGAAGATGAGCTTTTCTGGGTGATGCTGCCAGTACTGTACTGGAGTTGAGGCTGTGGCTTCATTTGGAGGTCGCAAGGTGATAGATGGTTCTCCCCAGTCTCCTGTCTGAAAATGACATTTATTCTAGAGGCAATATGACAATAAGCAAAGTCCATTCCCTCTACCTACTTTGATTTCACTTTACACATGTGTGCTATACACATGCAAATGCATGTAGGTACCTTATATGCACATAAGTCCTGGTTATTATGTTTTTATATGTATTAGTGTCCTGTTTCCCAAACCTGAGTTCATTTTTGAAGTGTGAAGTTGAATTATTCTATTTTCAGAATGAAACCCTAAGCTAAGTAATTTTAAGAGAAAACATGATATTAATGATTTACTAACTCATAATTTTCTGTAACAGAAAAGAACATATCATTTTTGAAGTAATTTTCTGTTTTTAAACTTTACTGTTTGAAATTTTTTATTTGAATTGCTTTTACATTAGAATCTACAGTTCTGTAAATTTCAGTTCCCAAATGACCTGTGCCATGTACTTACAAATCTGGAGAAATGATTCTCTTAGTATGCTACTAAACAAAATGTTAAAGCAAAACTTTACCAATGGGTGAAACTAATTTCTCTCATTGAAATTCAACTGTGTTGATAGAGTGCCACTGTGATTGCCTTGGATCTATTCCACTTCCTTTCTCAGAAAATCTAAACACCAATGAAGTACCAAGTCTGCTCATGTGTGCGTATGCATGTCCTTGAGAACCCTGGTTCACAGATACAAGCCATCACATAAGATGACATGTCATGTCATAGATACACCCACCAAGACCTAAGACAGAGGACCTCCTCCCATCACCTCATCTGTCACTTTCCATGAGGCTAGTCTCAACCTGTTTTATTACTACAAAGGCTTAATATGAGCATTTTTAAAGTCAAAGGTCTTTTCTGGACTCTAACCTGACTTACATCTCATACATGGAATATTTCTTTTCTTTTTTGTGGTGGTACTGGGGTTTGAACACAGGGTCTGGTGCTATTTGAACCAGGCCTCCAGCCTTTTTTGTTTTTTTTCCTTTCTCTCTTTTTTTTTTCAGATAGGGTCTCACGCTTTTTACCCAGGCCAGTCTTGGACCACTAGCCTCCTACCTATTCCTTCTGTGTAACTGGGAGTAAGCTGTGCAAACAAACACCCAGTTTCTTTATTGAGATGGGTGAAGTCTCACTAACTTCTGCCTGGGCAGGCATCGAATTGTGATCTTTCCAATCTCCACCTCCCTTGTAGCTAGGATTGCAAGAGTGTGCTACAGTGTAAAGCCACAGACTATTTCTCACTCTTCCTTGGTAAAGATTTTGGTTTTTTAATTTCTCAAATGGACATAGCTAAAAGTAGACTATAGGCAGATTTCCAACAGCACTCTTTTTCTAACCTGAATTTGGCTGGCCTTATAGAATTATGAGAAATTACTTTCCTCAGGCATTAGAAGAGTGTAAAAAGGTCTCATGAGCTCTAAAACCAAATAAAATCTTGGCCAGGAACCAAATTCCATACAATACTAGCAAATGAGTTGATACACTGTGGGGTTTTTTGAGGAGGATTTTCAAGGTTCTGTATAAGAATGCATACATTCAGATGTCTATTTTGGGGAGAAAAAGGCACTTCTGAGCTTTCATTACATTCATTAAATTCTTTTAAGATCTAGATATATTAAAGGTTAAGAACCACAGGCCTCCAGGAATGGTGCATATTTGGAAGAAAAGGCTAGCATTCCAATTTTTTCTGTGTAATTTAGAATATGAGGTAGATGGGAAAGACAAAGTGTGAGGCAAAGGCCTTGCCTTCTGGGAATTTCTAACTGGCTTTGAAAAATGAGAAGAAAAACTTGAGAGTCCTTTAGGAATGCAGGCTTGAATGATTCTCCCATAGGTGGCTCACTTCTAATCACAGGAAGTGCAAAGTTAGCTACCTCCTTGCCCTCTCAAAGGTGTGTGAATGGCGAGACTTCCTCCAGCTCTTTCTTGCTCTATTCTGTTCTCCGTGTTTGCTTTGTTCTAGCTGCTGACTTACTTGTGCATTGCTTTATCCTCATAATCACTGTCTGTTGATATTTTTAAGACTTTACCTGTGATATTAACTTAAGCATTTTTATCTGTTTTATGACCCACCCTGACCCATTCTTGAATTTTCTCTTTATATTTTACCATGGGCTTTTATCTTTTAACAGCAATAACTGACTGCAATTAATTTTAGGATGAAGTTTTCACATTTTGATATTTTTTCCTTTTCTCACAAATGTCTAGATCCTTATTATCTCTCTAGTCTTTATTTCAACTGGCTATAATTTTCTAAAAAAAACTAGTACAAAGTTCAAAATGTAGGATATGTATATTTCATTATTATTTTGAGGCTGAGTGTACTAACCTTTATGATAGCTTACAGCTATGGAAATACTGCAGCTATGAGTTCTTTAATAAAATCTCTCCCCAAATGTAGCAAATCCTCCTCTAATTTTCTCCATTGTACTTCTCTCCCATCCCCCCTCCCTAGAAAAAGCAACAACAACATAGCAAACAAGTATTGTACATTAAAGTCACAGATGACACTGCTCACGGAACAACAGAAGTTTGCACGCAACTCCGTGGAATGATACAAAAGGAGAATCTGGGTGACATCAAAAGATCCTTCCAGCCAGTGTCTGCTGATGTGACAGATAACTCAAACCAAGCAACAGGTCTTCATGTTAGTCCTATAGTTTAGCTAAGGTGTACCTTGGCCGAGCTCAACAGGCAGGTTTCAAAAAAGCCTAAGCAGACATGGCAGGAGCTAGGGATACCAAGGGTTGCATGGAAAGGGCTGGAAATAGAGCTGGGGTGGTGGTGGTGGTGGTTGGAGTGGGTGCAGTGAAGCTAGGGACATTTCACAGGTTAGTATATTAAGCATGCAAATCATGTGCAAACTCATTCTCGAATTGCTCAATTAGCTCACGCACTCATGATTCATCTTTAATGTGAGTTCTGTACACTTAAAGCAGAACTAAAAGCCAAATGCTGATCCATTCAGATGTTTTCATCATCCACAGAAGTTGTGGCAGCCATTTTGGAAATAACAAGCCCCAGCGCACACACGCCCTCCATTTGGAAATCACTGAGATCTCTTATTTGATAACCACTAGAAGATATGAGTGGTGCATCCATTCACTTGTTTACACAGCAATCATCTGCTCTCCTACGACTCTGCTTTGTCCAAAAATCACCAGCCACACGTTTTGAACCCGGAGCAATGTGATAGGGCTCCCCCAGATGCTCTGGGGCAAGGTAATTCTAGGAGTGGGATATAATCCTTACTTTGTTTTCTTTGTGGCCTTGAAACGCTGCTCCTGTCTAAATATTTTTAAATTCCCTACAGTGACTGAATCGACCTTTCTGGAAATAGACTCTGAGTTTTGTCATATTTAGCACTACTTCCAGAAATTCACTTTCAGAGGGAAAAGTGTTCTTAGGATTAAATTCATAAGAAAATAAATTATTTTTCTTACTGGAAACTCATCAATTTCCTCCCTCATTTAAAAAAAATCTACAAATATTTAGAAGAGTCAACATGTAGATGCTGATTTTTATCTTTGGAATTAATTTAATGGGAATAGAGGGACTCCAATTGGACTTAACATTACATTTTTGTAAAGGATAGGGATGACCTTGGCCCTTGGCTGGGATTCAGCTTTACCTGGTTAACTGCCAGGGAAGACAAAAGTGTTCAGAACAAGGTTGCCTTAAGTTTCAACCCTCCTGGAGGCAGAATTACAGCAGGAATGAGCAATGGAAGAGCTGGTAGAGAGGTTACTACATGGAATTGCAGAAGAGAGTGAAAAATAAATGAGGATTTTTTTTTTGCCTCATACATAAAATAATTTTGAACTGTGAAGTACAGTGTTAGCTCTAGATGAAGAAGATTACATTCCTGTCTATACAATACCAAAATTCCCATAGGCAAACATTTTACATTAAGTTTAATAATTTCCTACTTTAAAAAATGCTAACTAAAATTAATTAAAAAAATCAAACAGACCTAACAAGTCTGTTTGATTAGTGGTTTACAATCAAAGATTTTCTTTAATGAGGAGTAGGTCTAAACTTGGAAACCATTATGCATTAATATTTCATTAGAATAAGAAAATGAAGTAGGAAAAGTTTGGGATAGAATTATGTCCTATTTAATATGATTACTGACACAAAGATTTTTTAGAAGTCTTCTTTAAGTAATTACAGAAGATAAATGAAAATGAATATCTTTAGGCTATTTCTTCAGAGCTTAAAAAACTTAAGAGAAAAATCTTTCCTTTAGGTTAATGTATGTAAGTGATAATGATAATCCAAGAATTTGGTCATGTCTTAAAAGCTCATTTTTTTTGTTATTTTTTGTATGTGCACCTTAAGGCTTTAAAAAATAAATGCAAGGAAGGACATCAGTTGAAATAGATGGAAACGTACATCATTAACTATCACTTCAAACTCAAATAAAAATTAACCTTCTAATATTAAGAGAAAACAGAATTTGAGATTAGAGTTTTAACTGGAGGGTGGGCTCTGTCTAGGAGGTATTTGCCAATCACCAATCACAAATTCATATTCTAGCTTAGTTTGAAGGATGATAATTTGGCCACATCTAATATAATATCATGAAATGATACATTCTCTTAAACCACCAGCTGCAAAATATAAAAACACGAAGTGAATTTAATTATGACACGTAAAAATATTCACAGAAGTCGATAGGTAGGTTTTTACTGCATGGCAGATGTTTTTTAAATGCAGTTTAAAATATAACACATATAATAATATGTATTATATCTACAGGAGGGAAGCAGCTGCAAGATTTTAGTTCATGTGTACCGGACACCTAAGGTGGGTTCTAGAGCAGATCAGGTCATGCGGCTCTCCCCCCGTAAAAGGGAAACTGAGCGCTCCATATTCCAGAAGCTCTGAGATAAACGGGGAAGCACTGTCCACGTTCTTCTCTTCCTCTACGCAGAGAGGCTTCCTAAGGCTATCAGTGAAAAATTAAAAGCCATGATTATGACTTAGCTTTCTAACATTAGCTGAAAGGTATCATATTTTTCAAGCCTTATTCTTTTCAAAATTTTTAAAAATTAAGATTTAATTGTTTTTTAAAATAGAAGCTTTTAAATCTTTTCTGCTAGGAACTGTTTCCACCTACCTGCCTGTAAATTTAGAACAGAATATTAACAAACATTGTTCTCTATTTCTTCAGAATACTTAATGAAAAGCTAAAATGATTTTAAATGACAATTATTACCTTGAGGTTTCACTTTCATTAATTCTGACAAACTTCAGAGATGGGCTACACAAACACATAAGGTATAAGTGATTGCACTTACTTCCTGTAATCTCTAAGGCTTTGAAGAATACTATATAGGTCTTTATGTTTATAAATATATATACACATTTGGATGTGAACATAAGAGAAGGTCTTCTACAAACAGTCACACACAGGTAAAAGTGGGTGTGGCATTAGTTCTTTCAAAGGGTCTCCAAGAATGAAGAATGCAGGTTTTGCCAAATGCAGTTGGTTCTGCTGAATTTGTTCTTTTGAGGAAGAGCAGAGATGGCCAGTTCTGAACACGTAAAAGCTCGAGTTAGCATTTATGATCACTGAGTCATGACAGCATCGGTACCAGGCAATGTATAGACACCATGGTCCTCAAAAACCAGAAGTCCCATGCACAGAGGACAGATGTGCGTGATATGGCACCCTGAAAGAGATCCTTCGCATGCTACCCAAGAATTCTGCTTGGTGATTCTCAACCAGATATCCCAACCTCTCAGACAGCAGGCCATCCAATGGGAAAAATTTCACAGGATGTGAAGCTAGGATTGGATTTTAAGATATAAAACTTAAAAAAACTAGATTAAAGTGTTTACTTTCCAAATACAAAGGATTTTTTCTCAAGTATGCAAAGGTGAAATGTGCATATTTGAATATTAAGCAGCTCAGAGTAAAATGGGTCACAATTTCGTGCATTTTCCAAGCATCAGTTCAGTATTGTGAAATGGAAAAAAGGCTGAGAATCACCTTGTAGCTATACCAGTGTCCTTTCCGGGCTTTTCTCCTCCCACATTTGCAGCAAATATATACAGAACCTCATGCATATCATACTCAAGTGTTCCTCACAAATAAAGCACACGAACCTTTGCAAATCATTGGACAAAAGGGCTGAACAGCCCATGAACATGGGAAAGTACGAGATGGGGAAGAATGGCACTGATATATACATTTATATATATATATATCAATTTACCCTTTTCCTTTTTCCTGTAAAAGCAAGTTAACAAAGACGCTTGGAATGAAAGCCAAAACTCACATGGTGGGACAGATTTTAACCACAGACTTTAAAACTAAGCATTTTTCTCATTTTAGGACAATGTTTACACATCAACTAAGTCACATGGCACAGCAAATGAAGTATAATAGACAACTTCAAGAGTCACTAGACATTACAAATTTTCTGCATTGCCAGACATAGTACTTCTAGTTAGTAACGACACCCTGCAACACATTACATAGTGCAAGTCCAGGAAGAGAAAATAACCATTTGTAATCTTACATTATGAACCTGATGGATGGCTGAGAAAGGAAATCCAGCGTTCTGATTCGTCCATATCTCACAGACAGACGACTGCTGATATAAACAGAAAACTATCTCATCTTGTCAATATTTAAAACATGATAGCTACCAAGGTAGCACCCAGAAAGTGAAGGAGGAAAACGATAAAATACAAGTATCATATTTCTTAAAAAACAAACAAACAAACACAAAACCCCTCAATGTTTTAGGGTACCCAATGTTTAATGATTGACTTCAAAAATCATTCTTTTGATTAAAAATCATTTTGGCTTAGCTGGGGGAAAAAGACCATTTATGCATTAGTGTTACATCAAGGGAAATTATCAGAAAGTTCACCTCTTAGAAAAAGCAAACTTATCTACTTGGTCTCCTCTTTTTTGGTGCTCGGGATTAAACCCAAGGCCTTGTACATGGTAGGCAAGTGCTCTACCACTGAATTATACATCCCAGCCCAAAAATGTGTTTTCACAAACTAACCAACACCTCCTCTCAGGAATTACAGCAGAAACACCAAAGGCCTGACCTTTTCAGAGCTTTTTTTTTTTCCTGAATGCTGTCATTCTATGAGACAGTGTGAAACTGAATTACAGTAAGTGGCAGAGAAAAACAATACTCTTCTCTCTTCATGTTATTGTTATTTTCAGAGGATAAATACCTTCATCGAATTCAAGAAATCTTTAGAACAGGTCAAACTTTAATTTTCTTATCTTCGGTGACCAAGAACAAGCAATACAATAAAATGACTTTCCTGATGCAGTGATGGCTCCACTTGGTAAACCTAGAAGATAATTAAGTCTCCAGGGTTCTCAAGGGCAAAACTCTGTCCAGCAGTGCCAGTTTGCCTCACTGCAGTGGGTGGGGGTGGGGGTGTGGGTGTGGGTGGTGCAGTGGCAGACAGAGGCAGGAGAGAGAGAGACTGGGGTCAGGGAGGCTCAGCTCTGTTACTTGAACAGAAACTTGTAGGAACAGCAGTTTTGAGTCTAATGAATCAGTTCTTTACCACATCGTTTACAATCTAAGGCAATAATGTTTGCTCAGAACCAAAGCCAAACTAAGCAACACCTCCTCTCAGGAATTACAGCAGAAACACCAAAGGCCTGACTTTTTCAGAGTTTTTTTTTTTTCCCAAATGCTGTCATTCTACAAGACAGTGTGAAACTGAATTACAGTAAGTGGCAGAGTGGCTAAACCTACTCAGAAAGCATTGTCAGCAACCCCAGAATTCACCTGCCAACCTTATGAGGATCACTGCAGGAAGGAGATACACACAGATCCACAGTATGGCTTAGAAACCCAGTAAAGAGCAGTATCAGCAGCAAATAAACTGGAAAAGAAAACTTGTCTCTGGCTGAGAGCTTCCCCAACCACCATCCTCACAGAAATGCTCACCAGAAGTCTAGCATCTCTCTCCAGTGACAACAGAGTCTCCACACATACCTCTACCTTTGGACAGCTTGTTGGAGACAGACTGTCAGATACCTGACACCCTGTAAAGCAGTCAGATCCCCAGGGTCTAACCAAAATGCACCTGTGATCATTGCGTCCCACTTAAACCTGCTCTGCTATTCTTGGCTCTCTCTCTAAACTTCATGCCATTTTTTCCACAGGGGGGTCTCCCTCTTCCTACCTTCCAAAAATTAATTCTCTAGCAAGCCAAATCTTGGGCTCATTAACCCCATACATTCTTGTCATTTCATTTTACTGTCATCCTTGGGTACCTGTGGGAGCAGGGTTCCAGGAATCCCTGGTGGTACCAAGATCCAAGAGTGTGCAAGTCCTTTCTATAAAATGTAACATACATCCATCCTCTCACATACTTACTCTCTAGATTACTTATAATATCTAATACAATATAAATGCTATATGACTATTACACTGGATTGTTTAGGAAAGAATGACAAGACAAATAGTGTATACATATTCAGTATTTTTTTCAAATATATTTATCTGCAGTTGGTTGAATCTACAGATGCACAAAACTCAAGGACACAGATGGCTCTTGTACTAAATGTGGGCTTAGTTGGTTTACCAGCTCTATTGGCACCGAATGTACTTCTAGGATACCTTCAGCCCTTTTAGCCCTCTTGCCCATATACCTGATCTAATTCTTCTACACAAATCACAGCTTCTACCACTTTCACATATTTCTAGTATCAGTAGTAACCCACAGACCACTGGTCACCTGACAGATGAAGACCTCAACATTCAGAGGTTAAGTGGCTTGCTTAGGCCACACAGGGTAATGACACAGGTGTCAGATTCTGGAATGACTAGGAAAAAGTACAATCTGGTAGAGATTTCACCAGAAGGTAGAGGGGAGCTCCAGAGACAGGGAGCTTGTTTGAGCCTGAAACAAGCATATGGAAATGTAACTCCTTCATGGAAGAGTCTCAACTCCACAGATGTCCAGACACATAAAGCTTTTACTGTTTTCCAATTACTAAACTTCCAAATGGGCCATGCCAGTCTCTGCCCTAATGGGCACCAGGCCACTTGATATTTGGGCAGACTTCATAGCTTGCTGGTCACTTGGAGTCACGTAGAATCAATTTTGTGTAAAACCTCATGCAATGCAGGATTCTAACTTCCCCCTCTGTCATTATGGGCTAGTCTTGGGGCCTATGACATGAGTTGGCTGAAAACGGCGTGGCTGTACTTTGTCTTCTTCTAGGACAAGTGAGGGGTGGGGCAGATCAATTTTTCTGAGGATGTCCCCCACCCCCAAGCTTTACCTCCTTCCTGTATTTAGTAGGGAGGAGAGCATGGGCAGACAGGGCCATTTTCTTGTCTGGCTATGGCTGAACTCTCTCTGACAGTTGTCACTGTTTTTCAGCAAACATTAATGTGATACAGGGGAGGTGTAAGCCACACCAGCTTCCTGCTTTATCCATGTGACTCACATGCCATATACATGTCCTTGTCATGCAGAATGGTAGAAGGGCAGAAAGTTTGACCAACCAAATGTCCTCTCTGCCAGGACATTTCTAAGTCTCTCTTCTTAGGCTGGGTGGGTGCTAGGTGTATCTAACCATGGAAAGAGATGCCAGTTTCACCTCCTGGCCTGCATTCCCAATCTGGTTGCACGTTCCCTGTGGACCCCTGGTCACTAGGCTGGGAGAGTGTAGGGACACACTGCTCCCTTTCCCATGGAAAGGGAAGAAAAGCCTCGGTCCTTTCCTCAGGGACTCAGAAAATTCTCTGCCCTCCTCTGACACCAACTGATCCTTTCTGCTTATAGACTGGTGCCGACTGTGGCAGGGCAGGATTCACCACCTCTTAGTAAACCCTGCACAGGTGTCTGGCTCTGTACTGGCAGCTTTCTCTTTAGAGTGTGCGGTACTTAGTGCCTACAGGACAGTTCCCACTTAGCATTCCACTACACAAAGCTATCTTCTGACAGTCACAAAGTTACCAGAATTAAGGAAGGAAGAGAGAATCCAGTGCCATATTTAATTTATTTTACAAAGTTCATTAGCTTGCTGAATGGAAAAAAACCTTACCTCTAGTGACAGACACTGAAGAGAGTTCATGTGTGCATTCTATGCATTTGAAGAGGTTATATTTATGAGCTATGCCATAAAATGCCGAAGAAGTAAAACCTCTATATTTCTAATAGTTGTGTGAATCAACACAAATGCTAAAAGGTTAAATTTTAAGAGTTGCACATACAGGCAACTCTTTAGTTGCTTTTTTAGTTATGAAGATTGTTTTTTTAAAAAGTGGATACATTCCAGATACCCCAGTCATTTTGTTGGCAGTAGATAATTTACCAGGTTCAAGAAGCAGCAAGTTCAGGTGGATGAGCTGTAACTGGTGTATTCCTGAGATGAGAAGGCTCTTCTCCTAGACTCAGGGCTATGAGGCTGGCTGCTGGAACAATGTTAAGTACAGGACAGTTTCTGCAGCAAAAATTCATTATATTTATGAAGATACTACTTCAGGGGTCAACATGCATTGAGTTTTGAAAAGTTTTGAGAAAGAAAATAGAATGCTAGTAATAAAATTTCACCTAGGGTCTACATTTCTAGAGAAGCAGTGATTTAAATCTAAGTTTTAATTAAGCTTTAGAATGTCTTCATTTGCAAAGAAGAAGAATAGTTCCTGACCTACTTCTTTACCAGGTTGTTGCATCATTCAGTTAGGCTTTAGGAGAGAAGGAGCTTTTTTGGAGCTAAACTTCCAGGGCCTGGAACACAGCAGGCCCTCAAACATATTTACTGAATGAATGGAATCTTATAATCTATTTTGAAGTCCTTCGCAAATGGTAAAGCACTACACAAACATTAGTCACTGTTGTTATTCCTTATCATTTGTAATTGGGCTACTTCATAGTTGCCACTTGTGCTTTTAGTAAACTGTGTCACTGTCAACACACTGCTGGTAAAATATACCAGAAATTAACCTTGCAGATTTGTTAGAAGAGTCCTCATTACTCCTGATTAAAGGCTGACAAAGGGCTGTCAACTTTGCTGAAGAGAGAAGGAACATTTGTCATTAGCACACCTCTCTGTCAGAGGTGCTTGTAGAAAGCATGGAAATAATTCTGAAAAAAGAATGTTAATCACTCCTTTGCAACTTCATTTGTTTATTAGTAATCTCTTAATCCCTTTCCCACATATAATGCAAAGGCTAATTTGGTTTATCTGAACCTGAATTACTATGAAATCCAAACAAATGGGGGTTAAGTAAAGATGTAACAGTCTTAGAACTGCAGTATTATCAATAATTCAATGCTTACTTCTTTGATAATGCAATCAACACCCATTTGAATCTTTAGTTCAGACCTCTCCCTTGACTCTGGAAGTGTTTTCTTAAAGTACAATGCACATCTCACTCTTGTTATCATCTTGTACCTCAGGTTACCATGACTTCAGTTCAGCAAATACAACACAAATGCATTCAAATCTAATCACAAAATAAAAAGAATATTACCAGTCTCCAAAGTTTCCTCCTAGAGATGGACTGCAATAGTCTCAAAAAAGTGCTGCAACATCTTCCATTCAAAAGCAAACAAACTTCTTACTTAATTAAAAAAAAATTTATTATAATAT